GAGAGACTTGTTGATGTTCCCCAGAAGTCTGTTGAGCTGCCCTTGCCCCTCTGCACTGTCCCTCACAATGGCCATGAGGTTCACCAGGCATGTGACCCTGCGGCGACAGTTTCACAGAGGCTATCCAACCGTTGGTTGCTCCTGGTCATGGCTTCCCGCCACTCCTGATGGCTCTCTAGCTGCTCATGCACGATTGCTGCTCACATGGAGGCCAGGGTGGGTGGGTTTGGCACTGCGGCACTGAGCTCCATCTCCTCATTGCTATTACAAGTGTTTGTGGCTGGTCATGCGAGCACCCTGGTTGTGGGGGCTGGGTGATATCAGTGGCAGGTGAGCCAACCAGGGCTGGGCTCATAGTTTTGGTGCTTGACGGCTCACTGAACTCGCCTTCCCCATTGGCCCCATTGGCGGAGTGGGTGGAGCTGCGTGGTGCGTCCTGGGACTCACTCAGGGGGCAAGGGAGATGAGCCTGGTCAGTACGGTGGGCCCAGGGGTCACAGGAGTTTTCCCTGTTAGCCAGAATTATAGGGAGGGTGGCAGCCTTGTCTCTTAATGGAGCCATACGTCCACCACAATTGGTGAGATCAGTGGTCATGCAGCAGCCTCGGCCCTGCGAAGATCCTCATCCAATGCTCCCTCATACGGGGTACCTGTCACCACGAACTTGTCTCCTGGTGGGCCCAAAAGAATTGTGCCACCGCTTCATGGTGGGCAGTTTGATGTGACCAGCATGTCCCAAGGCCAGCACCCGTTCAGCCGCCATTAGCCAGAAAGAGCATCGACAGGAGGTCATGGAGCTGCTCCTGACAGTGGCCAGAGCCACGCTTGCATTTTTGACCACCAAGCCAAACAGCTGTGTCTTCTCTGCCTCCATCCACCCCTCCGAATGTCCCAGCTGCCATACCACCCACAGACGCTGGAATGCGGGGGTGGCCTTCCCACTGTAGGAGATGAAACAATCACAGGGGCAGCCCTGCCTCCAGTTCCCACAGAATTCAGAGTTGCCACCAAGATGTGTCTGCCGGCGGTGGCCGCAATACTGCAGAAATAGGGGTTAGGTGGCTCTTCCAGGCCCCCTGTCTGCACCCCACAAGGGGAAAGGAGCCCCTGGGGTGGGGGCTTGGCTGCCTTGGGGAGGGAGGTGATTGGCCGAGGGCACAGTTGGCATCCTGAGCTCCAACGAGACTAACTGGCAAGGCTGCAGCGGCGGAAGAGACCACTTGCATTCTCTATATACCATTACCGCCAACGGGCTACGCTGTGTTTTTCTCTGGCACGACTTCACACCTTTGGCGGGGGACGTTCCCAGCCTGAAAGGGCTCAGGGAGTGAACTAGCTCATGCCGTGCCCCCCAACCCGCCCACAGACATGGTGCTGAGGCCCTATGTCTCAGTTGTGCTGACGGCCCTACGCCAGCGCCTCACAGCAACAGAGTGGCACTGGGTGCCTGCGCTCTCATAAATGGCACTTAACGCTGGCATATCTCAGACATGTGCCGACCTACGGGTCAGTTGGTTCCCTGAGCACTTGCAGCCCTCTCCTTAGGATTGCTGTGTTAGTGTGTTATATAAGAAACAAACTTTTGATAGCATATCTAGAGCAGTGTTAGTGTGTGGAGGAATAATGGGACAACTCAAACAGCTATAAAAATAAAATCAGTGCTAAGACAAAGTTTTCTGTGTACTAGACAATGGCTAGTTTTTGTTTGACAAAAGGGAGATAGGAAAAGTGCTGGCCTCTAGAGAAAAGGGAGTCCGATCATGTTTGTTGTTTATTAAATCACCAGTTTAAAATGATAATCAGCGAATGGGGTTTGTGATATATAAAATATAAAAGGTCGTAATGGGCAGGAGGCACATTTGTGGTTGCAGCTACAAAAAGGTTAAAACCAGCACCGTGTCAATGAACAGCCAATGCAATTTATGCAGACCGGTATATTTCATCCTAAACCTGGCTACCATGCAGATTGATAGAGCCAGTGAATAGGGACAACAGCCACTCCACTACTGCCTTGCCTTTGTGGGCCAGCAGAGAGGAAAGAAGAAGAAGAGTAGTTTAGCTTTATACCCCACCCTCTTCACTTGGAATCTCAGAGTGGCTTACAGTCACCTTTCCCTTCCCCTCCCCACAACAGATACACCCTGTGAGGTAGGTGGGGCTGAGAGAGCTGTTTTGAGTACTGCTTTTGGAAGAACTGCTCCGAGAGAACTTGTGATTGACCCGAGTTCACACCAGCAGCTGCATGTAGAGGAGTGAGAAATTAAACCTGGTTCTTCCAGATTAGAGTCTGCACTCCTAATCACTACCCCATACTGGCCCTCAGAGGAGAAGGTGCTGCTGGAGCTGCCATGCATGAGCTGGGCTGACAAGGAAGAAGGGGGAATGGAAGCTATTGAGATGGCGGTAAGGCTGGGGCAGGGAGAGGAGGACTTTCCCCTTCTCCCACTTGAGCTAGAGGGTGGAGGGGGAATAGGGTCCACCAGCCAGGCAGGTGAAGTCAGAGGTGTTGCAGCTGAGCAGTCACAAGGTCATCTTTAGGTGGACTGGGGGGAAGAAGGGGAGAGCTGGAGCAGCATTTACTAGACAGGTGGCAGGTCTGTGGGAGTGGACTAGTGGGGCACCCCAGTGAGGATGGGGACAAAAAGGATGGGATACCCTCCCCCCCAAGTCTTGCGGGTACCCATTTATAAAGTCAAGGTGTCCTTCCCAGTTTACAGATGAGCTGCCACATTTTGTATTAATTGCAGCTTCTAAATACTTTTCAGCAGCAGCCCTACAATAGAGTACATTACAGCAATCATGCCAGCAGGCTACAAAAACATGGATAATGGTTACCAAGTATAGATGGGCAAACATGTCTAGTTCAGAGTGCACACTGCAACCTTAGTTGAAGAATGTTAACCGTAAGGACATGTTACTTGTTTGTTACTTGTTTTACTGGCATGTGGAAAAGCACTCTATTGTATTGCAAAAGAAAGAAAAAGAAATTACTCAGTTGCCCAAATATTGGTTTCCCAGTTTTTGCAAGATTAAAAATAATTAACTCTTAATGAAAAAAATTAACTGGCGTATAGTGTGCATCATATTTAGGATTAGCATAGTATTAATGATCTGGCAGTGTGTGTCTGATGATTGGAGGAGGAGGAGAAGATTGGATTTATACCCCGCCCTTCACTCGGCGTCTCGGAGCAGCTTTCAAACTCCTTTCCCTTCCCCTCCCCACAACAGACACCCTGTAAGGTAGGTGGGGCTGAGAGAGATCTTTCCAGAACTGCCCTTTCAAGGACAGCTCTTGTCAGAACTATGGCTTGCCCAAGGTCATCCAGCAGCTGCAAGTGGCGGAGTGGGGACTCAAACCTGTTTCTTCCAGATTAGAGTCCGCGCACTTAACCACTACACCAAACTGGCTCTCACACCAAACTGATTAGGAACAGAATAAACTTTTAAATATTTTCCTATTGAATCAATTTTGCCATACATATCTGTCCTTAATGTTTCTTCATTAAATTCATGTCAGATTCTGTAATGGAAGGAATATTTAGTTAAGAAAAATCAGAAAACAACTGTGAGCTGAATATCCTGCAAAAAATATACTAAAGGAGACTTCAATGAAGTGAAATGCATATATAGTCATATAATCTCCCATAGGAAAATACAGAAACCAACAAGATCCATAATAGGAAAATACAGAGTCCAAAGTAAATATCCAACACTTTTCCTAGGTAATTTTCAGTGTTTCAGACTTCTGGTCCTTCAGGAACAAGGAACATTGGGAGTCTCATTCCATTTTCTTATAGGATAATACTATTCTATTTCTACAACATTGGGCAAGGTCTCCTAAGCTCTAGTCAGCACCTGTAGAGGCTGCTTCTATGTAATAGGACCAAAACATGCCTCCATAGGCAGTTGTTTTCTGATTTTTCTTGGCTATTTCCTACTGTGTGCTGTACTGTTTGTTAGGAATATTTAGTTGACAGAAGTGGCTATAGATTTTCACAGTTGTGACTTTTATGAAGTCGCTTTTATGAAGTAGAGTACTGTGTGAGCAAGATACCTGTTCAAGTCACTAGTAGAAATTTGTTTTATCAAAGTATCAACTAAAAATGTTGGCTTTCTTAAACTCGTTTTTGGCAACAATCCCCATAATATATGTTTCTTATAAAACAAGGTATAGTAATTAAGTCGGGGGGGGGGATTCTGCCCCAGTTAATTACCGTATTTGGGTGCAACATTGCATTTGTCACTTTTGTGCTACTGTTGGTATGTTCCTTTTCTCTGTAGCAATTCTCTCTAGCAATTTAATATTGCCTGGAAGAACATGATGGGCACTGTGAAGTCTTAAAAGGACCTCACTCAGTGAGAAGGGAAAGCTCTTTCGGTTTCCAGTACAAATAGTGAATATATAACTGCACTTGGGAATGATGGTTCTGGTAAAATACATTCCCATCAAAACAATACATTGCAAGCAACGTTGGTATTAGTTGGTGGGCACCTGTAATCCAAAAATACTGCAGATCCTGAAACAATCGCTTCGTCTCCACAGGCACACTATTCTATTGCTGCTGTTATAAGATTTTACAGTGGAACTATGGAGGGAGAATTGACCAAACCTGTCATTTACCAGTTTGTTCAGAATCCTGGTCAGTTTTGCTTCTCTTTTGTGGAAAAGAAATGTAAAAGCTGTGGGAAAGAGAAGCTCATAAGGCAATAATGCTGAAGTCTGTTGCTTGAGCAGCTGGAAACTAGAGGGAGGGGTGCTTTGATTGGACTTGTATGTCCTGTGTGCTGCCAGCAGAAGGGGTGGGGTGATAAAATGTTCCTTGTTCCAAAGCCAGAAAAGGTTAGGGCTACTTTGAGCTTGCCACCAGACTGTTAGAGATTGAAAGACAAAACAGATCCTTTCCTGAAAGATATGTGACACAGGTCCAGCCTGTTTTGGATAATTTTTCTTGTATGTGGTAAAATGTTTTAAATTCTTACTGAGGTTTTTCTTTATGTAGGTGACACATTACAAGCAATATCCACCCAATACAAGCAAAGTTTATTCCTACTTTGAGTGTCGTGAAAAGAAGACGGATAACTCCAAATTAAAGAAGATGAAATATGAGGAAACTGTTTTTTACGGGTTGCAGTACATTCTTCATAAGTACTTAAAAGGTATTCCATCGTAGAATTTTAACCATAGTTTTTGATTATAAATCACCATGACTCCTCCACTCAAATAGTAGGAACATCTTTTAAAATATATTACTTGAATCTCTGAATTAACACTGATACAGAAAATTTGCAGATTGAAGAACTGTTGAGAATGAAGGAATAAATTGCTTTTAAAATGAGGGCAGTGATGCTATTTTCTCTGGAGTTCAGTTAAGGCTTGAAGGAGTTTTATGTTCAGCACTAACAATGTATAATCTTTATGAGATAAGTTCTTTTGTGACAGCTTAAATATGAATGTCAAAAACAGATATGAGCGTTTTCTACAAAAATATGAATTGGAAAATTTTCCAGTGCCCAGTAGGACATGATATCATGGAGAATATTTATTTTACATGTTTAATAAGGATGGTTTGAAAGGTACTCCATATTAATTCTGTGTACCAATACTGTTTAACTGAAATATTTGATTAGGAAACTCCCAAGGATAATTAAAATGTTATGCTCAAACCAGTTCGCAACTTTATATAGAAATGATTTTATTGGAATAATACATAAAAATCTAAAAACAATATAGCATGTACTTTGCTCTGTTTGAATTTAAGAAAAAAAGGAACAACATTGGATTGGATCCAGACTAAATTGCAATTTCTGCTGGTTCCCCCTTCCTGCTGCAGGCCCCCTTCTGCCACTCATTGGGGTCCCCTGTCCCCCAGCAGCAGTATTTTGTGGTGGTCAGTGGGCTGCTATGGGAGGAGGTTGGCTGGAAAGTTCTATTTTACCATTGGAAAATCCAGCCCAGTGACACTGAAATCACTTGTATTAGACTGCAGTAACTCTTCATAGGATTGTATTATAATTTTACCATGCAAGAAACCCTGAGCATTTTATGTCATGGATGTAGTTGTCCACTCATCTGTTTTAACAAGATTTAATTCTATTCCCTGGAGATCACTGGGGCATCTCAGTTTTACTCACTTGGTACAGCATCACTTGAATTGTGTGTTAGTTTCATATCAGATCAGAGATTAAAACATCCCTTGAACAATGTGAAAGGGGACATATAAATAAGAATTGTAGCTCATGTTTTAATTTGGTCTGCACAGTCAGTTGGGTGAATTCATGACTTGATTTCTATTGGATTATATTCTATATTCATGGTTGTATGCTCCCGCCCTAGTTTACAAATCAATAAACCATACATGTACTCTCTCACACACAATTCGTTAATCATCTGAAAAAAATATTAGAGACAGTGTTGCTAAGCTTGCTTAATATCAGTGATGGCATACTTTCATTATTATTTTTCAATGGAACAATGAATCTTTAAAATTAAATGCAATGAAAAAGCATTGAAAGTTGATTGAAAGTCTGTTACTTACTGTGTGTGAAAGATTTAATAACTGGCATTTTAATCCCAAGAATAATATCTATCCGTTTAAATTCTTTCTGTTTCAGGTATGTGGTCAAATATCTGATTCATATTATGCTTTCCCTTTGCTGAAAGGAACTATGTTACTATTTACTAAAAGAGAGCAAACCACTACCACTAATTTGCCAAATGCATAATTTTAAAACTGAGCTATGTCTAATTAAGAAAGTTGGTCCAAATAATGGCACTGTGTATAACAAATCTGAGAGCATACAGTTCATTATCAAGGACAGCTTCAGACTAAGATGTGCTGCTACTTGGGGAAGGTCATAGGGTGCAGAACTGTGTAGCTCTTTTATATTGAACTCTGTGCCTACAGTGTATAATAGTTTCCTGTGAGATTTGTGCAACCTCAGCTGGTGGTGTGATCAACCTGAGGTTGGTACCAATGTGTTCATCAAATTCAGACTCTAGATGCTATATCGACTGCCACTTTCATGATTTGTACCAATCTGAGGAAAACTGCCAGAGCTCTCTCTTTCCTATTAATTATAAAATGGAGGTAAACAATAGTAAAAACCCCCTAGATTTAGCACTTCACAATTGTAGCCTTCACTTGGTTACATATGGATGACATATTATGAGTAACTTCCTCATTGCAAATTGCAAGTGATTATCTACCAATGTTTGCTCTACCCTTAACTAGTTCTGTGATTATTTCTGCAACCAAATTGTCAATTTTGGGTGTTGGGGATAAATTCAACTTAAACCAATGGGCCCCGTTTCCGAATTATGAATACGTAGGATCAGGATACATGCAGTCCAGTGCTATACATGTTTACATGGAAATTCTACTGAGTATGTGGGATATACTCCGAAGTAAGTATCCATAGAATTGCAATGCAAGGTGATTACTGTACCAGACAAAATTTCTTTGTGGCCAAGAAATCAAAACCTTTGCACAATTTAGTCAGCTTCTAGACTATATACCACATCTATAAAGCAACACATGATTATATCTGCCAACCCAGCTGTTCGAAAGCCCTATATGGCGAATAGATAAATGGGTACCTGGCCTTAGTCGGTCAGGGGGGTACCCTCCCCTAGAAGAAGCGGAAGAACTGTGACTCCAGAGAGAAAATAGCAGCACCGGTACAACAATAGCGGCAAAACAGCGGCAGAAGCAGCGGCGAAGGGACGCCCCCCCGGAACAACGACTGGTCAGAGGTCAGCAGCGGCGCGGCGTCATTAGAGAGATTGGAGCCGGAAGGACGTAATCCCCATCGCCTGCGTGCAGCAAGCTCGACGAGCCAGCAGGGGCCGCTGTGGAAAGCCAGCTAACTGAAGTCCCCCCTCTAAGAAAGAACTGCGCGAAGAGGCATGTGACCGCCCGGAAAAAGACGGAAGGAGAAGCAAGAACATCTGTGGAAAAAAGCCTTCGGAGGGTATCTGGTAGGGTTCCCATCCCCCTGAATTTGTGGCCATAGTTAGGATTCTAGAAAGTGTGTGCACACACGATACTCTGTAAGCCGCCCAGAGCCCTTCGGGGGTGGGCGGGGTGAAAGTCCCATGTAGTAATAATAATAATAATAATAATAATAATAATAATCTGACCAACTTTAAATAGGTATGGTCATATTCCAATGCTTGATTGTTTATTGATCATAACATTTAAACTGCTCTGCATCACAGGCAAAGTGGTAACCAAAGAAAAAATTCAGGAAGCCAAAGAGGTATACAAGGAACACTTTCAAGATGATGTCTTCAATGAAAAGGGCTGGAACTACATTCTTGAGGTAAAAAGTTTAGTTTTTGCTTTTGTTTTTCTGAATGCCTGTCATGCATATGGCTAGTCAAATAGAAGTTCGTCTTGCTTAAGCTCAGGGACTACAGTTGGCAGGTGCTTAGCTTCTTGAGTCCAGAGTGATAGAGCCAGCAGCTGTCATCTTCTTTTTTAGACATTTCAGACTAAAGCAGTGTTTATCCTTTTCACATACCAAGTAGGGCTTTCCAGGCAACAGGGATTTGCTGCTGGTACTGCATAGTAAAATGCATGGGAATTCAGCTGGAGGGGCATGTTTCCACATAGACTAGCAATTTATGATGATGTCTCTGAAGGAGCTTTACAGCTTTTGTTTCACAACTATTATACCTTTTAGTTAATTACATATAGCACTGATGGTATAGGAAACACAATGTCTCAAAACATTTTACTGCTTAATGGATGAGTTAAACTTCCTGAACAAATCATGGTATATGCTGAGGAGTCAGGGATCTGCCTGTGTGTTCTAGCCAGCTGTCCATGCTTTCTGAAGGAGGTTTCTTCCCTGCAAGCACTGTTGTTAATTTGCTTGACAATATCATTATTTTGCTCTCCATGAAGTAGTGTCATACACAGGCTTTGGATGTGTCTTGAGCTTACTTAACAAGGAATTAAAATTTGTTTGCATGGTAATTGCAAGAAGAGAAATTGAGGACTTAGTTGCATGCTGGATGTAGCCATAGTGTTCTTTGATTCAAGTTGCACATTTTTGTAACAATAGCTTTGTTACCACTTAAAAAAAAATTGTGAAATAAGGGCAATCATTGATAGTAAAACCTTCATCCAGAAAGGTAAATGGCAATATTTAAACCTCGGTCTCCTTCCAACCTTCGTCTCATCCTGAGAAATGTTGGGGTGAGGGCTAGGAAAAAATACCCCCCTTCAGCAGTGAAGTTGTGGAATGCCAGGTCATTCAACAATAAGACCATGATGCTTTAAAGTTATATTGCAGTGCAACGTGGACTTGTGGCATGTGTGATCGAGACCTGGACTAAGGAGAGTGAAACAGTCGCCTTAAAAGAACTGACCCCACAAGTTGCTTAGTCCTCCATCAGTCCCAAACTGAGGGGGGGGGAGTGGTGATACTTCTCTGAGAGAGTTTTTCCTACAGGACACTCCACGCTCCAAAGATCACCAATATTGATTGTGTTGGCCTAGTTTGGGACATTGAGGAGAGTTTGGCTGTCTGTATGGTATAGCGGAGTGAGCCTTAGAGTTCCCGAGACTTAAAGTTCTTGGGGACTTCATTGTCCATGCTGATGCTGCCGCCTCCTCACAGGCTTCGGACCTAGTGTCTTCCATGGCAGCCCTGGGACTCTCCCAGATTGTATCAGGCCCCACTTATCAAGCAGGCTACATACTGGATTTGATCTTTGGCATGGGGATTTATATGGATCTGATTGCCAAAGATGAAATTCCATGGTTAGACTATTTTGTCCTGAAGGCCCAATTAGGTATCCCAGCCCCTTTCAGGTGGTGAGTGGATTATGCTCGCCTGTGGAAACTAATGGACCCAATTGGGTTCCGGAACACTCTGGGATCCGCTGCCCCCTGACGATTCATTAGATGCGCTGATAGAGGATTGGAATTCTTGTCTCTCTGAAGCCATCGATGAAATTGCTCCCGAACGTTGTCTGCATTCCCGATCTGAACAATCCCCCTGGTATAGTATGGAACTCAAGTGGATGAAACAGGAAATACAACTAGAGCAAGCTTGGCAGTGTACTCAGAATGAAGCTGCAAGAACATCTTATAGTATGTTTATGAAATACTATGAGGTGGCAGTGAAGGGTCTAAAAAGGAATTTTATATAGCCTCCGTTGCATCTGCTAGCTCATGACCAACACAACTGTTTTAAGTAACTGGATCTTTAACTTCTCTCACTGAGAGAACTCAAAAGGAATTAGGCCATAAGCTGTGAGGCTTCTGTGAGCTGTTTTGTGGACAAAGACTTGTAGCTTTACCATGACCTCCCGGCCAATATTGATACAGTACATGAACTGGAGGCCCCTGGTCATCTCTGGATTCTGTGTTTGACAGCTTCAGCCGACTCTCCCAGGCCAATGTTGACAGGATTCTGGGTGCTGTTAGGCCAAACACATGCCTCTTAGACCTGTGTCCTTTGTGGCTGGTGAAGGCTGGCAGTGAGGGAATACGGGGCCCTCTGGTAGACATTATCTATCTGTCCATGGATTTGGGGGTCTATCCAGAGGGATTAAAAGAAGCTATGGTTATACCACTCTTAAAGAAACCAACTTTATGGACTGCCCAGTCTCTAGTTTCTGGGTAAGGTAATTGAGAGAGCGGTAGCAGAGCAGCTCCAGAATTTCCTCGAAGACACATGGGCACTGGACCCATTCCAGTTGGTTTTCTGCCCCAGCCATGGGATGGAGACGACATTGGTCACCCTCACGGACGATCTCCACAGGTGTTTGGGTTGAGGTGGGTGGGTGCTGCCATTATTGCTTGATCTTACAGCAGCATTTGACACAGTCAGTTGTGATCTTTTGACCCACCGTGTTGCTGAAGTAGGAGTTTGAGGAGTAGTCTTGAAGTGGTTTATCTCATTTTTTCAAGGTCAGGGACAGAGGGTGGCACTGGGAGAGAGGGTGTCAACTAGGCATCCCTTAGTGTGTGGGGTCCCTCGGGGGCAGTCCTCTCTCCAATGTTGTTTAACGTCTATATGTGCCCCTTTCTAAACTGGTGCGGAGTTTCAGGCTGGGATGCCATCAGTATGCTGATGACACCCAGTTATATCTGTTGATGGGAGGCCAGCTTGATACTGCCCCAGCAGTTTTGGCTGAGAGGTTGATGGCTATGGTGGGATGGTTGAAACAGAGCTGGCAGAGACTGAATCCTACTAAGATGCTGGGTAGGGAGGTTTGGGGTGCCAACTCCCGGCTCTTGACGGCATGCCCTTAACACCAGCACCAACTGTCAAGAGCCTGGGTGTGATTCTGGGTGCCTCCTTATCAATGGAGACCCAGATCACAAATGTTGCCAGACTGGTGTTCTTTCAGTTATGCCAGGTCAGGCCACTGACCCCCTACCTGTCCCACCCTGACCTTGCCACAGTAATCCACGCAACAGTGACCTCCAGATTACACTGCTGTAACTCGCTTCTGCATAAGGGTACCCTTGAGACTGACCTGAAAGCTTCAGCTGGTCCAGAACCCAGCAGTGTGGGTCCTTACAGGGATCCCACAGATGGCACATATTCAGCCTGTGTTGTGCAAGCTGCACTGATTACCGGTGGAGCACTGGATCAGGATGACACCCAGTTATATCTGTTGATGGGAGGCCAGCTTGATACTGCCCCAGCAGTTTTGGCTGAGAGGTTGATGGCTATGGTGGGATGGTTGAAACAGAGCTGGCAGAGACTGAATCCTACTAAGATGCTGGGTAGGGAGGTTTGGGGTGCCAACTCCCGGCTCTTGACGGCATGCCCTTAACACCAGCACCAACTGTCAAGAGCCTGGGTGTGATTCTGGGTGCCTCCTTATCAATGGAGACCCAGATCACAAATGTTGCCAGACTGGTGTTCTTTCAGTTATGCCAGGTCAGGCCACTGACCCCCTACCTGTCCCACCCTGACCTTGCCACAGTAATCCACGCAACAGTGACCTCCAGATTACACTGCTGTAACTCGCTTCTGCATAAGGGTACCCTTGAGACTGACCTGAAAGCTTCAGCTGGTCCAGAACCCAGCAGTGTGGGTCCTTACAGGGATCCCACAGATGGCACATATTCAGCCTGTGTTGTGCAAGCTGCACTGATTACCGGTGGAGCACTGGATCAGGTTCAAGGTTTTGGTGCTTACCTTTAAAGCCCTAAACTGTCTGGGACCCACATATCTTCGAGACCATCTTTCCTGGTATACTCCCAAAGAGCACTATGCTCCCCAGATAAGAACATCCAGCTGTCCTCAACCAGCTGTAACATCCATGCTTTGCAGGACTCAATTCCGTTCCGCAAGGCCTGTAAGGCAGAGATGTTCCACCAGGCGTTTGGTTGAGGACGACAATGGCATCCATCTGGTTGGCAGTCTTACCCATTGCCTCCCTCCTGCAAGGCAGTGACACAATTAGAAGCTCTGACTGCCCTCTAATTAAGTTGATTATTGTGATTTTATTGTATTATTAATGTTTTAATCTTAATTTAGTATGATTATTTAGTATGATTATGGTTGTTTTATTTATCGTTGTACATTACCCTGAGCCCTGTTTACAGGGAAGGGTGGTATAAAAATTGAATCAAATAAATAATCCTGCCTGCTTACTATTATATAACAGAAGTATGAAGGGTGTCTTCCAATAGAAGTAAAGGCTGTCCCTGAGGGCTCTGTCATTCCCAGAGGAAATGTACTCTTCACTGTTGAAAACACTGATCCAGACTGTTACTGGCTGACAAATTGGATTGAGGTAAGTCATGAAAAACTCCCTCATTAACCAGGTTGGCCGCCTGGTTGTATGTTTGAGGCCATGCTATGGTGGCTATGGGTACAGCTCAAAGGAAGGAGCATCAGCCCAGGACTGGCCACTGTTGTCAGAATGCATGCCTGATTACTACATGCCTTGGTCTGGGGTCTGAAGGCCCTAGGATGTGGTGGTGGGGAACTGGTGTGTTTTCTGCTGCTGTCTCTTTTGTACCCAAATAGCTCCCGAATCCAAGAAAAGTGGGGGCTCCCTATTCTGAGAGGCGGAGGGGGGCTGAGACATGTGGGTACCTGCCCACCTCATACATTAGCTTTTTGTTGTTGTTGTTCAGTCGCACAGTTGAGTCCGACTCTTCACGACCCCATGGATCATCTCCCGCCAGGCCCTCCTATCGTCCGCCGTCCTCTGAAGTTGGCTCAATTTCATGTTCGCTGCGTCGATGACACTGTCTAACCATCTCATCCTTTGCCGTCCCCGTCTTGGCCAGCTCAGATTTAAAGAATGTTTAAGTGCTGCAAAGAATCCATTTTTTACTTTTATGCCCTTGTGTTTTCTATTTTTAATATCCCTCACCACCTTGTCATCCTCCTTCTCCTGAATTATATGAATACTAGGAATAAGGCTCGTTGTGGAAAGTGCCCCGGCCTTGGGCACTCAGTGTCAATTTGCTGTGGTGACCTCAGCAGGATATAATGATGCAAAGTCCACCATTTTCTCCAGAGGAACTGAGCTTTGCTACCTGAAGAGGAGTTGTAATTTTGAGTGATCTCTACCCCTCACCTGGAGATTGGCAACAATGGTTCCCCAGAAGGAAATGGCTGGTTTGGAGGGTAGAGTCTATGGCATTGTACCTGTCTGAGGTCCCACCCCTCGTTGAACCCCACCCTCTCCAGGCTCCACCCCTCAAGTCTCCAGGAATTTCCCAACCTGGAGTTGGCAACTCAATCTCCTTCCCAGTCAAGCATCAACCTGCCATTATCTGCCTTACTCTTTAGCTTTCCGTCTCCCACACACACACCTGCAGCCTCAACTGTGCTCTGAAGCCCTGACTGCTACGTCATATTGGCTGTCATAGGAGGGCCATCTCAGCAGGGTATAAGGACACAGAGTCCACCATTTTCTCCAGGGGAACTGAGAGCAGTTGTAATTCTGAGTAAAGGCCCTCACCTGGAGATTGGCAACAATGGTTCCCCAGGAGGAAAAGTACAGTTTTTCTCTGCAATGGGGACCAAAGCAACTTACATAATTCTCTTCTCTCCCTTTTGACTTGCACAACAACCTTGTGAGGTCAGTTAGGCTGAAAGTCTGTGACTGGTTCAAAATCACCCATTCAGCTTCCACTGCAAGAACCTGGGTCTAGCAGACTGTGCTCTGAAGCGCTGACTGCTACGCCTAGGGTAGCCAGCCTCCAGGTGGTGCCTGAAGATCGCCAGGTATTATAGACTCTACCATAAAATCTCAAGGAATTTCCCTACCTGGAGCTGGCAACCCTGATCAGGACTGGCCCCAATGAGTTTTCTCCCAAAGGCCAAAATAGGCTTGGAAAGGGCCTTTTACTGACAGAACCAAGCTTGGTTGCCTAGCAACAGGCACTGAGGGGAAAGTTGGGTTGCTAACTCTGAGTAGGGAAATACCTAGAGAGTTGGGGGGCGGATCCTGTGGAGGGCAGCGTTGGGGGAGGGGAAGGACTCAGCAGAGTTCAATGCCATAGGGGAACTGATCTCTGCCTGGCAGACCCTGCTCTGAAGCGCTAACTGCTATGCCTAAGGTAGCCAACCTCCAGGTGGAGCCTGAATATTGTCAGGTATCACAACTGAACTCCAGACAACATATCTCTTCCCCCCCACCCAAGAAAATAACTGCTTTAGACGGTGGGCTCTATGGCATTCTGTTCAGCTGAGGCCTCTCCCCTCCCCAAATTCTGGCTACCTTAGACTGGCTTCCTTAGACACAGAATATCCAGGAATTTCCCAACCTGGAGCTGACAACCCTAGTCAGGGCAGGCCCCAATGAGTTCCTCAGAAAGGCCTGGAAAGGGTTTCCTTCTACCAGCAGCCACTGAGGGAAAAGTTAGTTCCACAGAGGAGCCGAGCAAAAGCGTCTTCGTCGTCGGGAGAGACGGCCATTTGCCAGTAACTTACTTCTGACAGGGAACAGTGGCCGAGGTGGGAGTGGGCAGGGAAGAGGAGCAGACCCAGCACCTGGCCAATTGCACACGAGTACTCTTGAGTGGTGGCTGACGGGCCAATGGCTGATGGAGCGCATTGCACAGCCAATGGGAGAGCTGGAAAGTGCCACCCCACTACTCAATTATATATAAGGAGAGATATAAATAACTATACTTCTTCAAAACTGTTCATGCATCATTTTTCCTATCAGATTTAATCGTAGGATTGTAAGATAATTTCGGAGCTGCGGTGGCTCAAGTGTTTAAGATGCTGAACTACAGGCTGTGGAAGGTCGGTAGTTCAGCAGTTCGAGACCCGAGTGTGCCGTATGACGGAGTGAGCTCCTGTCTCTAGTTCCAGCTCCTGCTAACCTAGCAGTTCGAAAGCAAGAAATTTCAAGTAGATAAATAGGTACCACTTCAGTGGGAAGGTAACAGTGTTCCGTGCGCCTTGGTGTTTAGTCATGCCGGCCACATGACCACGGAAGCTTTGAAACGGAGATGAGCACCACAGCCCTAGAGTCGGATTCGACTGGCTTTCGAGCAAGGGAACCTTTACCTTTACTTTAAGATGATTTCAGTGGCAAGTAGGATGGCTCAGGCTAGCCTGATCTCCTCAGATCTCGGAAGCTAAGCTGGGTTGGCCCTTGTTAGTATTTGGATGGGAGACCACCAAGGAATACCAGGGTCACTACACAGATGGGGGCAATGACAAACCACCTCTTATGGAGTCACCATAAGTTGGCTGCAAGTTTGACAGCACTTTCCACCACCACCAAGTAGGCTTACCTTTCACATATGATTTTCATTCCTGTTATGTAATTCCCATGCCCCCCTGCAAGATTCATTTCTCCCAGTCAAGTCTACCTTAGAGCCAAGAGAGGGGCTATCTTATTCACAGAACATCTTCTGTTTTTCTGTTTTCCTAGACTATTCTTGTTCAGTCATGGTATCCAATTACTGTTGCCACAAACTCCAGAGAACAAAAGAAGATCCTGGCAAAATACCTGCTTGAAACCTCTGGCACTTTAGAAGGACTGGAGTACAAATTGCATGACTTTGGCTACAGAGGGGTTTCTTCACAAGAGGTAATACTGATTTTTCATTACATCAAAGTCTTGAACTGAGCAAGTCATTTTTAGATGGTTGGCTCATGAAGTGAAGCTTCTCTGAGCAACTGCATCTGGTGCCTGTTTCATGTAAAATTCATGTAACGTTCTAAAATCTTGAGCACCTTAAATCTTTTAGCACCAAGCATTATGTTCTATTTGTCTTGTAGCATTAAACTGTGCAGTAAAAGAAGCATGGCACTTCATATCTTATTTATACTATGAGACCAGCTGTAGAATTAAAGTATTTATTAGTCTGGAGTTGCTATGCATTCAAACAGTCTCTAAGAATTGCCATTTAGATTAAAACATGCCTGTAATTCAAAGTCTTGTCTTGTTCTCAGACAGCGGGAATAGGAGCAGCTGCACATTTGGTGAACTTTAAAGGGACTGATACAGTAGCAGGAATTTGTTTAATTAAGAAATATTATGGAACAAAAGACCCTGTGCCAGGTCATTCTATTCCAGCTGCTGAACACAGGTATCTCTCTTTCCTTGATACTTTGAATGTTAAACCCCTGGTCTTTTTTTGGTTACAATCAAATGTAAATCTGGATTAGGTGATGAATGCCATGTCTTTTTAAAACTTGAATTTATATAAAGTTATGATTAAGGAGTTCTTTGCAAGACGTACACTAGACAGTGAAAGCTGTTGGTCACAACAAAGTTAGCCATAAAGAGTTACCTAAACTGTTGCAAGATCTCAGGTAAGAAAACTGGATGTCAGATGCAGTGGGTTTGTTATATGTCATGTCCTTAAGCACCAAGTTCATATTATATGTTAAGCTTTTAGTAATAACTATTTAATGAGTTATAGCAGCAGGCACTGGAGGTTGGTCAGGACTTGAGCATTGCTGTGAACTTTGTGAAATGCTACGTCTACACTAATTAAAGCCTGGTGCAGAGAAACTCTAGGGATAGAAATTATAAACGTTTATGTATGTAGAGTACAGCAAACCCTTTAGTGTGCAGGGGGAATGCCATAATGGGAATAATGTACCATACAGTTAATACTTAAGTCAGTTAAATCCATAATGAAGACATGCTGAGCAGCTGCAGTATATTGGATAGTTTGGATACAGCAGTTTCTCAGGGGAAGGCACAGATCTTTCATATGTTCCCCTCCCCCAGCAGTCCTGTCTGACGACACCAAAGTTTATTTCCAGGGTCAAGCTAACTGCATGCCCCTGAGAGAGGAGGAGGGAGGGGGTGATTATTAGTCCACATGTACCCTGTGACCCAAGAATCCACTTTCCCAAGGTTGGAATGGACTAATGGGAAAGAAGAAAGGGAAGGACCACAATCCTTGTGTCCATGGATTTTTGGATCTAATCCACTGTCTTTTAACTTTAATTGATAAATGTTCTTATTGGATGAAAGCTATATTTCTACTTGCTGTCATTCAGCCTGGCTCTATATTGTTCATTCTTATTTACTCTGTTTAAGGAATGTTAGGAGTTGTGCTGCTTTTCCCTACCCCTCAGCTTTTCTGAGAGCGCTTCCCCTTTGGAACTGGTTTTATATGAGAGCTCTTCATTAGAAGCTATCTTCTTAATACTCTAATACAGGGGTGGCCAAACAAATATAACAAATGTCAGATGTTTGAAAGCGACAAGACATGAGCAAATATTATGCACATGTTTTTATTGAAAATATGCAAATTTGCTTTTTATTAACATTAAGTGAGACTGACAAAATAAAAACAAAAGGGGTAAAAACTAGGGTTGCCAAGTCCCACCTGTTGCTGCAGTGGGGGACTCCCGGCTTGCTCCTGGAGCATGAGCGCGCGCTGCAACCATGTCACCGGAAGTGACGCGATCACACCGGGCACGCTGGGGGCGGGGCCACGACCACCCAAGGGAAAACCATAGAGTTTTCCCTCTGATGACCGTGGCCCTGCCCCCAGCATGCCCAGTGTGGTCGCATCACTTCCAGGTGACGTGCACGTCGTGTACTTTGTGGGTGGGGTTCCCCCCGGGGCCCAATCTGCCGGCGGTGGGGAATGGACCTCTGGGGCGGGGGTTTCCCCGCCCCCCGGGGGGGGCCTTGGCAAGCCTAGTAAAAACAGATATTGATAATGATATTTCTTTGTCCAATGATATTTCTTTGTGGAAAGAGAGGTGGAAAGAAAGAATGTAAGATGTTGAAAGAGAGAGATAGAAACAAAGAAAGCAAATAGATGACTGAGGGAGGAGGAAGGAAGGGAGAAAAAGAGAAAGGTGGAAAGAAAGCAAATAAATGGGGAAGGAGAGGTGGAAAGAAAGCAGCGTTAACTTTTAATGTGTTCTTTAAAAAAAAAACAACCACGCCAGCCAGCGTGGCTTGGAAAAGGTATTTAAAGAGACAAATGCCTTCTCCAAGCCAGCTGATGTAGGGGGCTTTGAGAATGCATTTAAGGTTAAAGTTGCTTTCTTTCTCTGCTCCCCCCCCCCCCAAGCCTACCCAGGGAGGGAAACACTGGCTGGGGAAGGGAAGACTGATCAGGGAGGCATGCCTCCCCTTTGCTTCCCCAGCTGCCCTACTGGGAGCCGCACACTATATGTGAAAGAGCCGCATGTGGCTCCCAAGCCACAGTTTGGCCACCCCTGCTCTAATGTGTGAGTGCACAACATGCAGTCTGGTGGAGTCATGTTGTGCAGTTCATAGTCCCCTCCCTTAAGGCTAAGGAGGGAGGTGTTGCTGCTACAATTCCCCCCCCTCCAGTTCTCATCATGGCCCTGGCTCTGGGATGCAGCAAGAAGTTTCCCCCTGGGAAGAGATGTGAGAATGCTCTCAGCTACTCTCTGGTTTGAGACAAGGCATTCTGAAACTTCCACTGCCATGGGAAATTTCTCTGTTTCATCCCAGTGGCTTATGATTGAAATAGGGACGCAGTAAGGAAATTTCTGCATTGCCTGGCCATGTCTCAGCCTATAAAACAACTGTGAGTCTGTGCTCTGAAACTTCTTGCAGGGACATAGCAAAAAGTTTCAGGAGTTGGGGGAGTTGGAACATCAACTTTAAGTAGTTCTTTGAACTGAAAGGTGGTGATCTGATATTCCACCTCTCCCCCCGCAAATTTATCTGTCCCAGAAGCTTGCCATTGAAATGCAATTCAACTACCCCTCGTCACATGCAATAATGGATCCAAGTCGTGTGGGTGGTTCATTTAGCGCCAGTCAAGATCCATTATGGCCCATATATTCTGAGTTGTGCATCTCTGCTCTAGAGATGAATGAATAAAATGTAAAATCATGCCCCAGACAGGACTCTTATTTCAGTCGGTAACTAAGTTACACAAGTGCATATTCCCAAGTCTTCAGGGTGAGCCATTCACACTACAGCTGCTATGCTAAGACATCTCTTCCTAGGAGCTTCAGAATCAATCCCATGGAGCAGTGAACAGCAGAAACCCTCTAATGTGAGGGAAAGTAGCATGTATCCTCTTAACATTTAAAAGAACACTGATAGAAATGTGTACTGTATAAACTGCTATAGTCTAAATGGAAAAAAAAAATGAAAAAGTGTGTTTGTGTTACAGGAAATTATTTTTACTTAATGCAGCATTATATGTGTGCTAAAAGGGAAGTAGAGCTCAACACACAAACATTTGAGTTACTAAATAGTTCCTGTTTTTCCAGTACCATAACAGCTTGGGGAAAAGACCATGAGAAAGATGCTTTTGAACACATTGTAAACCAGTTTTCTTCAGTGCCTGTATCTGTGGTCAGTGACAGTTACGACATTTATAACGCTTGTGAACAAATATGGGGTGAAGATTTAAGGCATTTAATTGTATCAAGAAGTGCCGAAGCACCACTGATTATTAGGCCAGATTCGGGAAATCCACTGGATACTGTGCTGAAGGTAATGTCCGTTTCGTTTTTAATTGCTTATCGTTTAATAAGATACTTGGGGAACCCAATTTTGTTTTTAAAAAAAATCTAACAGCATTTCAACATTGTACACATTGGTTGGCAGGACCATCCTCACCAGTGTTCCCTCCAAGCTGTGGAGTCCTGTGAGCAAAAATTCTACTTTGTGAGCTACCGGCATTAAAGTTGTGAGCAGGTGAATTGGCTACTGAATAACTTCGTTTGCTCTGGAATCATCCTTCCTGAGCTAAGACAAAAATGCGTGAGCCGGAGGCTAAAAAACTGGGAGCTAGCTCACACTAACTCAGCTTAGAGGGAACACTGAATTCCTCACTAATAGTGTTGTACCTACTTTTCCTGTCGTCTTAACTCCTTTTCCCCATCCCTACTGGTAGCTGGTCAGGCAATAAGAAAATGAGGTACCTGAGAGCTGACCACTGCCTTCCCACATTCATTTGCATGGTGTAGATCGCTTGATGATAACTTTATAAGGGTATGTGGCATATACATGAAGTCATCTGTGTCGGTAAAGCAAGAGTTTGGTAGAAAGATAGTTGGTATGTTCTCTGAAGTCTTGGAATTTCAGTCTTGGCTTTTGGAAGTCCTGATCACATAACAGAAGTGCCCTGGTTTGCATATACAGCCTCTCTGCTTTGCTAATAAAAGTTAATGATTTCAGTTTACCAGCGCAGTGGAGTGCTTGATAAACAATCATAAATGTTCCATCTGCAGCTACCTTGGAAAACAAATATGAATGTAACTAGTTTGTTTGAATTGGAACTGATTACAGTAGGGCAATACCTCCTTTGAAATAATGCTTCTTGGGAAGTAGGGCAAGCCTTCAGATAGACAGAAGCAATTCGGTGGGGAAAAATTACATAGTGAGTACCACACGAGGGGCTGGAATGTACTGCTAAATGTTCCATCTGCAGCTACCTTGGAAAACAAATATGAATTTAACTAGTTTGTTTGAAATTATGATTGTTTATCAAGCACTCCACTGCGCTGGTAAACTGAAATCATTGAGAAAAAATAAATATAAGACAGTGTCTTATTTTCGGGGAAACACGGTAGTATAAAACTCCTTAAAGGTGGCACCCTGCTCTCATCGGAGCTGGCGTGCACAGGCGTTCCCACCTAGGCATCGTGTGCTCTGGCTGCAGGCACCCCCTTCCCTCAGTTCCTTTTTTGCCGCCATGTGAATAGGATGTTTCCTAGTGCTCCTCTTTCCAGTTGATTCTTTCAGCATTTTTGGTGAATTGTAGTGGATTCTGAACTCCCTCACAGGGTGAGGCAATTTCCAGTCAGCCTACTCTGAGCATTTCTGGCTTGGAGAAGCTCGCTTGTGCCTGAAATGGTGGCCAAGGTGTTGTTTAAGAAGTGCACAAAATGCAGGACAAAGATGAGGCATAGTGATGAGCATGAGCTATGTCTCTTATGTCTGAGAGAGTCCCACAATGTTGGTTCTTGTCCCATCTGCCAGCGCTTTATGCCTAATGCTAGATCCAACTGAGCTTCCCAGCTGAAGGCTGCCCTCTAGGAGAAGTCATTGTGTTCCTAGGTTCCTCCCAAGGCTCTTCAGAGCTTGGATCCTACCCCTTTGGGTAGGTCAACCTTGGCTCCAATGCTGCAAGCCATTCCACACCTCCATTGGCTTGGTCAGTTCCAGCTGGTCCCACTGTGAAGAGAGCGGTTAGCCCATCTAGGAGAGTATCTTCGATAGCCCCTGCTTCAGAGTCTAGACAGCCCCAGTCTCCATCTCCTGCCACTTCAGTTCCAGCACGTTCACAGTCAGAGCCTCTGGCCAAGAAGCATAAAAAGTTTAAGCACAAAGAGAAGACCAATTCCACTTCTAAGCAGACCAAGCATCACTCATCCCCTAGGAGAACTGTGGAGGACCAGGATGTCATCCTTGTGCCCCTTCATACTCTTATCACCACACTTTGACACTCTCCCAGTGGTTCCCCTCCGGACTTGAATGAGGACTGTCACGGCTCAGGTGGGGTGTCACCTGATGCTGCCACCACTCTGGATTTAGGATCCCTTGAGAAGGCCCAAAACACCCTCCCAAGACCTTCAGACCTCCCTTTCGGCCAAATAATAGGCATGAGGACCAGGCAGAGTATAACAAGGAAAAGGTTTATTTTATAGGAGGTCAAACAAACAAGGTACAGAAATAATAACAGTAAGTGGGTGAAAAGAAAAGGAATCAAATGCCCTAACGTGTCTGAATATAGTGTCCCTAGCTCACTATCTCAAGTGGCCTTGCTACTCACCCTACTCACCCTTCCCTCAGGATGAGGGTTTCTTCCCCACAGCAGGTTTTTTCTCTGGCCCTGTTTCCTGGGAAGAAGAACAGCTTTTCCTCTTATACCAGTTCTTTTATTCCCCAGCCCTCTTCTTCCCTATTGGTCAAAATCGGTGCCAAAACTTCCCAAAGCCTTCTGGGGTTTGTAGGCTCAGCCTCCCCTACTGCTAGCCAGGTTCCCTGGGCTTAGTAGGCCTCTGGTCGCACAGCCCAGATCATGACAAGGACCATTTCAGCATCCTGGCCGATCAATTCGTAGGGTCGGAACTAGCACCCTCACTGTCTTGGTAACAGACTTTCCCACCATAAGGGCATTCCTACTGTATGTCTCCTTTGTTTCTTAAAAGATCCCAGCCATTTGAAACTGGTCACAAACCAAGTGACCATAGATACATTGAAGCCCATTTCAGCTTCACTCCATTCCATTCCCCTTATTATGAACCCCATGAGGAGATTTCCATTGCTGCTTGTTATAGTTCTGAGAGCACATCTGAGCCATCACCTGATGACACCATAGGGGGTCCAACCCCTGAATCTCCGAGTCAGGATCTACACCTCTATGGGGAACAAATGCTGAGAATGGCCAAGGCCTTGGACATCGATGTTGTTACTTCTGACAGCAGGCCAAAGGATAGAATTTTAAGTTGTCTGTATCTTGATCCCCCAGGCATACTAGCTTTCCTGATCCTGGAAGGCTTCATGGATCTTACTGGCCATTTCTGGCAGAAGCCGGCATCTACTCCGGCTACCCCTCGTGGAACAGAGAACCTGTATAGAGTTAAGTAGGACTCTAGTTTCTTACTACATATCCACCTCCTTCATCCCTAGTTACTTAGGAGATGCAAGTTTGACAAAGACTGGGTCAACACTCATCCCCAGCAGATAGGGAGAGTTGATGTTTGGATGCTAGGTTGCAAGTTTTATTCCTTCAGCCACCCTTAACTTCCGAATTACAAACTACCAAGTGATCATGGGTGGATATCAGCTCTTCCTTTGGGAAAGTCCATCCCAATACTTAGATAAGCTACCTGATGAATCCAAGTCACTGGCTAAATTGTTCCAGTTCAAAGGAATTTGGCTTTCATAGCAAGAAATTAATGCTGCCGAACATGCTACGGATGTCTCAGCCAGATCTATGGTGTCTGAGGTAGTCTTGGTTGTGCACAACGGCTCTCCCTTTGGAGACAAGGTGCAAAGTGGAAGATCTGCCCTTTGAAGGGTCAACACTATTCTCCTAAACTACAGATGAGTTTCTTTTGACAATGAAAAGGAATCATCAGACAGCTAGATCCCTGAGAGTCTTTTCACCTGCTCCAAGGCAGCACTTTACCCAGAGACTTTGCCACTTTGTTGTTTAAGGGGCAGAGGTGGCAGCAAGCGCAGTTGCCCTACTTGTATCCTCAGTATCCCCCTTTTCCATAAAGGAAGAACATGACTTGGCCCAGGTCATCCAGCAGTCAGAAACCCCAAAGAGATCGGGGCAATAACCCCTGAAATTCTGACTACTCGTCCCAGTTGTGGTTAGTTCCCCTGCTTTTAGTAATAGGTTAGCAACGTTTGCAGAGGCTTGGTGCTCCATTTGTTCTGATAGTTGGGTTTTATTGATAGTATTAGAAGGTTACAGGTTAGAGTTTTTATCCTCTCCACTGTGCAGTCCAGCCTTTGAGGTTGTGAATAATCTTGGTGTAGTGGTTAAGAGCAGTGGACTCTAATCTGTAGAACCGGGTTTGATTCCCCACTCCTCCACATGCAGCTGGCTGGGTGACCTTGGGTCAGTCACAGTTCTCTCAGAACTGTTCTCTTAAGAGCAGTTCTCTCAGAGCTTTCTTAGCCCCACTTACCTCACAGGGTGTCTGTTGTGGGGAGAGGAAGGGAAGGAGATTATAAACCACTCTGAGACTCTTGAGTGAGGGGGGGATATAAATCCAACTCTTCTGCTTTGTGTTGGCTCAGTGAACTCTTCTAGAAGGGGGCACTAGAAAAGATCTTAGGGGGGGACTGCAGGCTCAGGACTTTCATTCTAGATTTTTCCTGGTTGATAAGAAGGATGTGGGCCCATCCTTGATCTTAGAAGATTAAATGAGGTTTTGAAAGTTTCTAAGTTTAGAATGGTCTCTCTGTCTTCTGTTATTGAATTTCTTTCTCCCGAGTCATGGTCTGCGGTCATTGACCTGACGGACAACTTAACACAAGAACATAAGAACATAAGAGAAGCCAATGTTGGAACAGGCCAATGGCCCATCCAGTCCAACATTCTGTCACAGTGGCCAAAAGTACCAGGTGCCATCAGGAGGCCCACCAGGACACTAGAAGCCCTCCCACTGTTGACCCCCCAAGGACCAAGAATACAGAGCATCACTTGCCCCAGACCGAGTACTATCTATACCGTGTGGCTAATAGCCACTGATGGACCTCTGTTCCATGTGTTTATCCAATTCCCTCTTGAAGCCGTCCATTCCATGTGTTAATCACTCTTTGGGTGAAGAAGTACTTTCTTTTATCTGTTCTAACCTGACTGCTCAGTAATTTCATTGAGTGCCCACAAGTTCTTGTACTGTGAGAAAGGGAGAAAATTACTTCTTTCTCTACTTGCTCTATCCCATTCATAATCTTGTAAACCTTTTTCATGTCACCCCTCAGTCGTCGTTTCTCCAAGCTAAAGAGTCCCAAGCACTTTAACCTTT